CTAAATATATTTTATTTAATTAAATTATAATTTTTTTAATTATTAGTTAAATATTTATTTAAATTAAAAGAATTTATGTTTAGAATACCTTTTATCCACGATTTGATATATAATATCTTAATTTCTAAATAATATTTATTATATATTGTATTTTGTAGTAACACATATATAAATAATTTTTTAAAGAATCTATCCCCTCCAGCTAAGCCCCAAAAAGTACGAAAAATATGTTTTCTATATAAAAATTTCAAGAAAAAAAAATGAAATAAATTTGGATTTAAAATCGATTAATTGAATTTGAAATTAAATATTTAGATCGTTTTTATTGCCCTATAGCGCTGACGATTATAATTCAAAATCTCTGTATCGTACTTTTGTCACCCCTTTTTTGACCATTATATGTGATTATTAATTGTATAATCTAAATATATCCCCTTCTATTGGGTTCCTATTCTTTTTGTCCAATAGTTAAATTTCTCAATGCCTTTCATTTTCAAAATACAGATTCGATATGTGATGTCCTAGTTTCTGAATAATTTTTATTATATATTGTATTTTGTAATAATATATACATACATATTTTTTTTAGAATTTATTATATTTTCCTCCAGATAAGCCCCAAAAAATTCGAAAAACATGATTTCTATATAAAAATTATATGAAAGAAATATGGGATAGATTTGTTTTCAAAACCGATCAATTGAATTTAAAATTATGTGTTTGGATCGTTTTTGTTGTCCCATAGCTCTGACGATTACAGGTCAAAATCTCTGTGTCGTACCCTTATTACATCTATTTTGGGAATTATATATAATTAATTATAAATAATAATCTAAAAAATAATTCTATTTTATTATATTTTACTAGGTTCCTGCTTTTTTTTGCCCAACAGTTAAATTTCACCTAAATTCAAAGAATCCATGTTCAGAATTTTTTTTCATCCACAGAATATAGATTCGATATATAATATCCTAGTTTCTGAATAATTTTTATTATGTACTGTATTTTATAATTTTATATATATA